GGGTTTTATGGATGGATTGTCACACATTAGCAATCACAGATAATGAATTAGATTAGTGGTTGTTAAACTTTTGAAATCTTATTAAAGCACCACTGAATTATTAGAAAGGAGTTATGCTGTTTAATACGAGCTTTACTTATATGTATGACTCTCATATTTACTGTGTCATTGTGGTGAGATCCAGCTAGTGGGAAAACATGCTTTATTCTGCTATAGTAACCCAGACCCTGAAATGAAGGTTCTGCTGGAAATCAGCAGCAACAGATTTTTTAACAGCTCTGTGATCAGGATGTCAAAAAGAGGAACTTGAATGCTTCTATCAGGCTACTTCTGTTCTGTATATTATATTATAGGCATTTACTGTCATTCTGATAAAACCTTGGTACACTTCACTGGCCACACAACACATCCGGGTTGAAACACACAAAGGCAAACAGCAGTGAACTTTACACCTCGTGGACCTGAGAAGAAAAACTGTGCCGTTGATGGATTAACTGACGTGCTAAAGAATTGCTAAAGACATATCAACTTGTGTATTCATACAAACATTCATATGTTTTTCAGAAGTCAAACGTTTTATTCACTCTGATCAACAACATATCATAAACTGATCAACAGTTTATGTGCTATAGCTACTGTGCACAGGTCCGTATTTTGTTTACACTGTTTATACACTGAGGTGTATTTTTGTATAACACTTCATACTAGTGAGGATCAAACTATAAAGGGACTGCTGACTAGTTCCTATGCATTATAGCACCATTTCATTATCACTTCTTAACAGCGCAGTTGTCAGCGTATTGCTAAATTGAGGCGGTGTTTGTTGCTAACGGGAACAATCTCTGTTAGATGTTGATCAAATCAGTGCTGCCTTTTGACTGATGGTGGACTGTGTGGGGTGGTGTTTCTTCCACTGTAGGCTTCAACAAGAATCTGTTGATTTATGGCAGTTTAATTATTATCATAATTAAAATTAAGATGACTCCTCTTATAGTAGAAAGTAATAGGACAATCAAATGTGGACTATTAAATATCAGATCTCTCTCATCTAAATCTCTGTTAGTGAATGATTTGATAAGTGAACATCACATTGACTTATTGTGTCTTACTGAAACATGGTTACAGCAGGAAGAATATGCCAGCCTAAATGAATCCACTCCACCTAGTCACAGTAACTGTCACATCCCTCGAAACACAGGAAGGGGTGGAGGTGTGGCAGCGATGTTTGACACAAGCCTATTAATCAACCCTAGACCTAAACATAGTTATAACTCATTTGAAAGTCTCACCCTGAGTCTCTCACACCCAAACTGGAAAACTCAAAAGCCTGTTCTGTTTGTTATTGTATACCGTCCACCTGCTCCTTATTCAGAGTTTTTAAGTGAATTCTCAGACTTTCTGTCTGATTTAGTGCTTAGTACAGATAAAATAATCATAGTAGGCGACTTTAATATTCATGTAGATGCCGACAATGACAGCCTCAACAATGCATTCTGTTCATTATTAGACTCAGTTGGCTTCTCTCAAACTAAATAAACCCACTCACTGTTTTAATCACACTCTTGATCTGGTTCTGACATATGGCATCAAAACTGAACACTTAATAGTTTTTCCCCATAACCCTCTTCTGTCTGACCATTTTCTAATAACTTTTGAATTTCCATTAATGGATTATACTCTATGTGGGAAACAATTCCACTACAGCAGATGTCCATCTGGCAATGCTGTTACCAAGTTTAAGGAAATAATTCCATCTTTATCTACTTCAGTGCCATTTGCCAACACAGTGGAAGGAGGCCACCTTAACCTTACTCCCACACAAATCGATAATCTTGTTGATAGTACTGCAGCATTCCTACGTAATACACTTGATACCATTGCCCCTCTGAAAAAGAAGGTAGTGAAACAGAGGAGGCTAGCCCCGTGGTACAGCTCGCAGCTCCGCTCCCTAAAGCAGGCATCACGAAAAATGGAAAGGAGGTGGCGCTCCACTAAGTCAGAAGAGTTTTTCATAGCCTGGAAAGATAGTTTAATAACATATAAGAAAGCCCTTCATAGTGCCAGAACCACATTTTATTCATCACTGATTGAGGAAAATAAGAACAACCCCAGGTTTCTTTTCAGCACTGTAGCCAGGCTGACAAAGAGCCACAGTGCTGTTGAGCTTAACATTCCCTTAGATCTCAGCAGCAATGACTTCATGAGCTTCTTTACAAATAAAATCACAACTATTAGAGAAAAAATGGGTCGAACCACTCCCACAGCTCTCGCAGATGTGCCATCTACTACAATGGCTTTAGAAACATCTATAAGACCTCATTTATACTTGGACTACTTCTCCCCTATAGATCTCTCTGAGTTGACCTCAACAATTGCTTCATCTAAATCATCAACAGGTCTCCTGGACCCCATCCCG